TATATGTTTGCGTACATATATTCATATATATATGTCAGCCATATATGTGTATATATGTGTGCGCTAGAGTATATGCTGAAAATCTGTGGACACACAAATAGAAGTTGTAACTCTAAATCAACAACGGTAGTTGAAGACCCGTTGGTGTTTAATAGAATATATATATATATATTTATCACACACACAGCCATTAAAATGTGCATTTTAACGACATCACCTTGCATTTATACCTCAGCCTAGGCGAGCGCTGCCGTCTTTCCACATGTTCCCCCCACACTGAACTAATGTCCTCACCCCGTCCACTACCTCCAACCCACTTTCCCCACATAATGGACTTCGATTATTTAAAACGGAGCTTTCTGAATATGATCTTGGTTTAATTCGGTTGCCATGGTAGCTTGCCACACTTGGCTTTAACATTTATGCTTAACCAAAAGCCTAAGCACCCACCCCCCTCCCACACACACACACACACACACACACACACGATTCACCTTCACCCCTTCTCTTTGGAGAAGCAGAGACAAGTGTGTCGACATGATGGTTCTCTTTGTTCGTGTACGTACGAATACGTGCGCGTACGTCTGTCTCGGTGTGGGTGTTACCTGATAAATACGAAAAAATGTGGAAACTGTGAGTGGGGAGAAAAAAAGTGGGACGACACCTACCTTGGAAGTAAAACGTGTGGGGAACTGAACTGCACTTTAAGTGTTTTTGTGAGGAATTACAACGTCCTTCACCCGCGGCGTTTCACCGCACGTGAAGGTATAAATGTATTAAAAAAAAAAAGTCTTCTGCTGAGGAAGAGGACTCTGTTTATGTACGCCATCACACTATTTTTAAAAACTTTTTTTTCCCTTCATTATGGCCTTGTTGACAACAAAGAATTCACGAACATTCTTCGTCTTTGCTGTTCACGCACAGGTTCCGTTTTCCTACGTATTTTGTGCTTAATTTGTGAGGAGTGAGATCCGGAAACACAGAGAACCTTAATTTGTAAGGAGTGAGATCCGGAAACACAGAGAACAAGTGGTTCCACTATTTTTTTTTTTTTCATTGTCACACGGAAGTGGCAGATCCAAGGTCAGAGGTTATGAGCCGGATACAGAACTAAGTGTAAAATGAAACCCTGATTTTTATGATATGTAATATGTAATTGAATGTAATTTTTTGGATTACGGAGTAAATCTGCGATACGTCGCAGCTACGAACAGGACCCCGACGTAGCGTAGCGTAAAAGTAGCTACAGATATTAAATAAAGGAAGAGATATAGTTGGGATGCGCTGTCGTTAGAGGCCACACTATCAGACCGATGGAAAATGTCCTCACACTAAGGCAACATAAGAGGCGGCGTAAACAGAGTAAACACAAATGAATGGTCTAAGCAAGTGGCTAATTATTTTACTCTCTTGGGGACAACTTTTTTTTTCACCCCCGCCCTCCCCAAACCACCTCCCGCGAATTGAAATACTATTGAGAACCTGCTAACATGTATATTTTTTTTTGTATCTGTACAAACCACTGTATGAGTTGCTGCCACCTAGTGACTGGAGGCTTGTTAT